AATTGTAAACAACATATGGGGGTTTCCTAAAATAGGGCTACCCCTATTCGTCATCCGTTTTAGATTGGTTTATTTTCCATGAAATAAACCATCTATCCACCATGACTTTGGAAACCCCTGCAGCGAAGCGAGGCAACCGCAGCAGCATTGACATCCCGATGCATTTTCGTGCTGTGGTAACGCCAGAAAACGCGCCCACTTTGCCAGGCCAAGACCGGCCAAGGGCGTGGCCATTTGGACAGCCAATTTCCAAGAGTTAACAGGTGTCAATTTTTCCTCAAAAAATGAAAGAGAAGTGAAAGTGAAGACTTCCAGCAAATTTCCAAACAAACATCTCCTAAAATGCTGGCTAAACAGTTGCGATCCAATTCAAGTGGTGTGTTTGTTTGAGGAAATCTGAGGAAACCTGTTGGAAACATGGACCTGCGCGGATTCGAAAGACGCTAGGGTGATAGGCAAAAAACACCACGTTGATTGATTAATATTGATTAAATTCATGGAATTTCGTGGGCCCCATGAAATGGAGGATCATTGAAACCAATTGAAGCCATCCGAATTTTCTCTTGTTTTTTGTTCCCAAGGACTTTGATGAATCGAGCTTGGGTAGATTGACTTTTTCTGTTTTCAGCGCAGGACGTATGTTTCCCGCACCCAGGGTTGTCCTGGAAAGCAAGTGGCGAAACGGAAGCACAGGGCCTGGGGGATCCCCTCATGATTGGAGAAACCCCTCAGAATTGTACGCTGAATTGTACGTTGACTTGTCGTGTTCAGGCTGGAGACCAGACCCAGAAATCCAATGATATATACACATATTGTTAGGATATAATATGTCTATATATATATATATACGTATATCTATTGGGATAATCTTTTTCAGACGTCAATTTCAGAGTACTCAGAGTTGAACCTGGCCTCACCATCAATGGCCGCTTGCTCCATCTGCCATGTTTGCCACTTGCGCACAGATTGTGAGGAATCCACACAATGTCAACATCGTCTGAAGTTTGATCCCTGAACGCTTCATGCAACATGAGTCAACAGTTGAAGAGTTTTGGTGCCTCAAAATCATATAGCCAACAACCAAAAAAGCTAGATTGTTTCAGGATTCAACAACTGGCTAGTTGCTTGGGGGCCTATTGGGTACCCCAAGTTGCAAGCGTTTCGTCAGGTTGAAGACTTGCGCCAGATCTATGAATGTTCACCTCTGGCTAAAAGTCCATGGTTTTACATGGGCTTTACAAGGTTTGATATCATACATTACACATCAAAAAACACATTACACGCTATAGACTATAGATTCGGATGTGCCATTCTTGTAACAGCCAAACAATGGATTTCCACATATCAGAGAAGCAAAATGAAGCACCAGGAAAATAGCCCAGAATGACATTAACTTTTCGGAGCCTGGGTAAGAAAATTCATCGTTCCATTTGGTGTTTTCCAACCCTTTAGGTCTTGGTCCTCTTTTCCTTGACATTTGTTTTATCAGGTGGCTTGGAGTTGGTGTCCAGCTCATCTTTCTTTCCATTGTTCTCCCTCCAAGAATCCTACCATCACATGTCATTCTCTGAGGTGCTGTCCTGTCTCCAATTCTGTCTCATTGGTCTCCCCCCCAAAGTTTCCAGACTGGGAACCCCTATGCTGCTTTGACATCCCATTGCTTTGGCATCCCATTGAATCATTGCTTAGCATAAATTATACCACAAGCAGTGAACCTTTCTTGTTTGATACAGTATTGGCAGCATCGGCAAATGGAATTTGAAACATGATATCAATGATATGATAATAATATGATTCACATGTTTGTATCATTTTTCAATTGACACAGTAAATCATGACTCATGACCAATAATATTAATACGACATGTGAAAATAGGTTGTGTTGCGTGATCATTTGAATTCAACAATGATTTGGGCCATGGGCCGCATGGATATGATTCTATGATATGTTGCGGTCGGTCACCCGGTATGGTCGACCATGCAAAATCCTAAACCCAAAACCCTAAACTCATGCCAGTAAATCGGGCATAGTTTAATGTTGATCGATGCAACAATGCAAAGTAAAAATCAAAAAAAAAAAACACAAGGAGAGGCCACAAACGGAGCACCAGCAGAGGCACCAGAAAGGACCAAAAAGAGCACCACGAGAGGTGCCGAAAAACACCTTTGGGAGACAGCCTGTCCACGACAAAGTTGGCCAATTTCGGGTGTCCTTGCCGCCGTGTGCGCTTTGCAAAAAAAAAACAATCAGAGACCACAAAAGGAGCACCAGAGAGACCAGAGGTTTTGCCAAAACGGGGCACCAGCAAGTCCAATCAGAGAGCACAAATGAAGCACCAGAAAGTACAATCAGAGACCACAAACAGAGCACCAGAAAAACGGCAAAAACATGTGTCTTTTCTAGTGATTTCCATTTTCTATTTTTTGGTGTGGCCAGCACACCCAGCCAGCCAGGGGAGGCGCCAGCATCATATAAACTCCGTATTTGGTATTCGTAGGGGCATGATGATTCAAACACTGCTTCTTAGTCTTGGAACAAAAAAGTTCGAAAATTCAATGTATCAAACAGCAAGCGCAGTCGTTTTTTGTTGCGCAGCTAATTTCAGCTGCAATTGGCAATTGCTTGCAAAACTTTGATTTGGAGCAGGCAGGAAGTGAAAACTGCTGGAGCAAAAAACTTTGATTTATTATTTCAAAGTTGCAGTTATGATTCATCTGCCTCTTCTTCTGTATTTTCATCAAGCACACAATAGTAAGACGGTAAAAACACATGAAACCAAAAATCCAGACAGTAACAGCTTTCATGCCATCCAGCCCGCTCTGAAGTGGTTGGATGAAGCATCTAAATAGGGATGGCACGCTGCAGCTTCCGCAGGGGTAGTGGAAAAAAAATCTGATTTGAACATGGCTATATGTTGGGACTTCCTACCAGAGATAAACCCAATTTTGGAGCATTTTTGTGGTGCTCCGTTTGTGCTGCGCAGTCGTGGTCCCTGTTACAGCCCCGGGGCCTATCCGAAACTATAGATATTACACCATAGATTCCGAGAAAAAGTCGTGATATTTTCGCATCGGGCCACCAAGATATACCAAGATCACCAACCTTCCAACATGGTAGGAGGGAGTGCTTCGAAGCTATGGCTATCCCTATTTTCCATGGGGAGCCACTGGGAGCTACGAGCGGAGTTTCAGAGCTACAGTACATGAGATGTTTAGATATATAATATGTTACTATGTATATAATATATTATAATATATGTTATTATATGTTGCTATATATATATGTTACATATGTTTAGATGACAACATCATCAATGGAGCATTCACAAGGCGATGGTATTCACGAGACAGGGATCCAGACTTTTTCGCGGCTGGAAACGAATTATGTCTTCCAGCTCCGCACATCTCGCTGGACGGAAACGTTGGCTCGTAGTGAGTGGCCACTAAGAATTGGTGTTGAGGTTTGCTGTTCCCTTTGGGGAAGTAGCGGCATCTTTCGTTGAAAAAGGCATTACGATTCTAGAATGAGACCATAAAAATATCTTGGATATGACATGGATACAGTATGATACAGTAGTTACATGTAATGCATAGAACCAGGGTGATGGAAGCACAGTCATCATGTCATGAATGGTGGGGATAGTATATAAACAAGACCAACGCAGTCCGGGTAATGTGTTGCAGTGGGCCACCGCAGCATCCAGCTGCTATGGTGTTGATAGGGGATGAATTCTCCGCTGAAAAAAAACAACATAGAACAGCCTGCCGGGCAGAGAATTTTTTTAGCAGCATGGAATACCCTCTGGTAAACTAACATAACTATTGAAAATAGCCATTTATCTATAGTGAATTTTCCCATTCAACATGGTGATTTTCCAGTTCGTTATGTAAACGTTTGCCAGAGTTTGAGAGCTTAAACATCAAAACAACTGCAATTAGGAAGTCCTTGGTCCATATTACTACATCAACCTGGTTTGACAACGAATGTATTGGAATGTATTGGAGAGTATTGGTATGTAGTTCCAAACCTAATATGGCATTTAGATGAATCTAGCATAATTTTCCTCTTTTGAGCTGGAGTTTGTTCTCCGGCCACACCAATTGGCCACTCAACTCTCACGTATTATTGACGTCTCAAAAAGTAGGGGGTCCTTGTCGCTTTGGGCCGGCGGACCCCTCCCGTTCGACGTCGCAGTGCATTTCGAATCACACAACTTGCTCAGTCTTCAAGCCAAAAAGAACGGATTTCGGCAGAGAGGTGGCTCTAGGTGGTTGACTTGGCAAGACCGCTATGGCCTTGCCTGAAAATACCTTACCTCCCACTAATGGATTATATCATAAGACGGATATTAACATTTGACGCTTTGCGGCAATCTATGATAATCCCAATGTTTTATGTTTTTCGGACAAAACCACATGTTCACCCAGACCAAAGAACTTTCTCTGAGGCACTGCAGCAGATGAAACGGACCAGTCATAGGGCAGGCTATTTTCGCACAGTTTCCCATGCTCGGCAGGTGCATCCTACTTTTTGCAACTTCTTCGCACGTCAACATATACTGATTGCAAAATATGTTTTGAAGAAGATCATGGAGGCATATTATACGGCATATTTATCATCCAACAACAAAACATTGGACGAATACCCCGGTGTCATTATGTAGTATCCGATTCCGTTGCTGTGTTGCTCATCACAGTGCCCGAGCGGCACTGGGCAGCATGCGGCCGATAAATGGGGCATGACCCACTCATTTCATAGGTTGAAAACAGTCAAGTTGAGGAATCAGCCATCACAAGCCTAGTCCAAAAAGATGGAATTGGGAAGAGAAGCAACAATACATCAGGTGTTGTAATGAGGGGACACAGTTCGTTGCAGCCAGGATATTTTGGATGGTGAAATTGGAACCATCCAGTGGCAGACCATCGAGTTCAAGTTCCATCCATTTCGTGGCATAAACTTGACACAACTTGACAAAAAGAACGGGTTTTCTCGCGAAAAAGTCACGGCTCGCGGTCACGACGACGTCGCGATGCCTAAAGGCAAGGCCGCCAAATCAGGAACAGGCCGGGCCGGGGCATGTTAGTAAAGCTTGGTGCAGGGTAGATGCTGACAGGTTGCTCGGGCACTCGCGTTGCGAGCACTCACGTGCTGCAACTTACGTGCTGCAACTTATGCCAATGCATTTTTCATGGACAGAAGTACGTCATTGGGTTTTTTTGAGTGAGAGGCATGTCGATGTTTTTTTTGGTGAATCAAAAATGCATTGGCATATTAGCTAAGATCAAGTAAGCCCTTTAAGGACTTTGGATAAAGTAAAAACCCTAGATATGTGGAGGAGTGAAAAAGGCCTTGTCTCTTGCACAGGCCCCCAGAGAAATGCATTTACTTGAGTGTGAAAAAAGCATCCGGCAACATGTATACTTTTGGGCTCCCCCAAAGCTTAGAACCTCAGCTGATGCTTTTTTAATCTTCAAGTAAATGCATCCATATGTGTCGACCATACCAAAATCCCTTGTGTTGCAACAAATGCATTTAGTTGACAGTGAAAAAAGCATCCGGCAACATGTATATTTTTGGGCTCCCCCAAAGCCTGGAACCTTAGCGGATGCTTTTTTAATCTTCAAGTAAATGCATCCATATGTGTTGATCATACCAAAAGCCCTTGCGTTGCGAAACAGCGTGTTGCAACGGTACGTTGCGCGTGCTGCGTGCTGGAGCTGACAGGTTACCTTTGTTGATTTCTTGCTATACCATAATATGTATGTATTGTATATATAAGTAGCCGACAAAATTATTGTAGTACTGATTTAGTTTTGCTTCGCCGTGGCCTTTCTGAGGTTGCACAAAACCTTCATAACGGATAGGGGACGACCCTGTACCGATACCCCATTTGTGATACCATCGAGAGTACTGAAATCCTCACAAGCGATAGGGGACGACCCTAATTGTTTATGTTATTAAATCAACACATAATTTTGCCTGCTACTCATACATATGAGATCCGGTCAGAATAAGCGTAGACTATTTTAGTAAGGGAGAGTCCAGTTGTGTTGAGAAAGTGTACCAAACCATGTAAAGCGATAGGGCCCCAAAAAAAGATAACTTGTAGCCATATGAGAGTGCACTGAACTTGGTGTAAACCAAGCAAATTTTGTTGTGTGCCTTCACGCGATGGGCAAAATTGACGAAAATTAAACCTGCAGTGCCCACGTGTCTTGCAGTTGCCATACCATTTGTTGCCCAAGGTGATTGAACCAGATTGAACCGTTGCTTTCTGCAGGCAGGTGTTTTTTTTCTCCCAGGTCCCAAAGCAGTAGAACTAAACTCAGCTAAATGCAACCGAATTCTGAATTAGATCAAAACACAGTTTTAAATCTAATTCTGAATTCCGTTTATGTGCTTTACTTTAATTTGAATTTCGTATTCCTGTGTTTCCTTTTTCTTCCTTTTTCCTTTTATTTTCCTTTTGAATTCTGAAGTAAATCAAAATTGTTTTTGAATCCAATTCTGCATTTCATTTATAGTTATATTTCCCTTTTGTTTGAATTGTCCGTTCTTCTTCCTTCGTGTCCAAACTTTCCTTCCTTTTTCCTATTTTTTTTAATTGTCCTTTTTGTTCCACGTTCCTTTTTCTTTTCCTTTCTTGATCATCAAGGTATTCCAATTTAGCGATAACCTTAGCAATAACCTAGCGATAACATGCGATAACCTTTTGTTGAAAAAGGAACCCCGGAAGAGGGATAGACTCATTTGATCCTGACACGAAGAAGGCCATCAGGTTGTTTTGAGACTTGGGGAGCTTTAAGATGCTTGAAGCACTTCTTCATAGCTACGAACGCTTCTTTATTGGAAAAGCATTTGAGCGGGGAGGTGTGGCGTTTTCTGACACCTGGCTTATCAAGGGACAATTGCGAGGTGATCCTTTTTTGCGTTCAAAGAATTAGTAATCTTATAACCATTGGTAATTGATCTTAATTAAGTTCAGAGTTGAGCTTGTAATAAATGTCCTTCCTTAGGAAAGAATTTAGGAACGTGCTTAGATAGCTCCCCAATATGGTTGCAAACGCAAAGACAACGAGCGCCCCTTAATCCATTCCCAGCAGTTTAGAGATCTGAATCCGTGAAGCCAATTCCGCTGCATGTTTGCATTATTGTTGATTTGATCAAAACACTGTAAAGCTATAGGCCCCCAAAAAAAGCGACCAAACATCAACAATTTTCGTACCAAACATCAACAATTGATTTTGACGGCGGCTCATATATATATATATAGATATAGATATAGATATAGACAATGTAAATTGGAAGAGTGTTTTTGTATTGCAGCAAAAAAGGCCATGGTTTCCAGGGTAACTGAGAGCCACGCGATGGGAGCCTCCAAATTGTTGCCAGTTGGGGTTGTTTAGAGTTGTCCATGAGTTTCATCCAGTGAATGTCGGGTAACTACAATGTGAGGCCCCCGTTTAATAGCAAAGTTGGTGAGCATAACTCCAATCACAATGGTTTATTATATTTATAACTATAGTAATTAATGGGGTTTACAAACCAACTAACATCACTGGGGGGCCCCACATTGTAACTATTTCAGAATTTGACATTTCTGAAAAGAATTTCTCTGGTGCTCCCGCCATGGGATCATGTTTTCCTGGAGCTGTGCATAGCTTGCGGGGCTACGCAACTCTAGGGATCCATGAAGGGCAAAGCAACAACAATGGCTTAAGTCAGTTGCAAGTGGAACCAATGGACCGAAAAAAAAAAGGGTGTTTCTCAACATTTTATGGTCACCAAGTAAATTCTTATATGAACAAAAATGATATGTTTTGTAAAAACTGAAGCATTGGTTTCCCCATTCAACATGACACAGTTTGGGAGTTTTTTGGGGGTCCATACCATTTTCGGAAAACCCCTCCCCTGACAGGTGGTGATGGCAAGACTTTTCGTCCATACCATTCCACAAATGTTCCAAAGGAGGCGCCAGGGTGAAAACCCTGAAGTGACGCAAATGGCCAGCTTTCAAGGCAACTGGTGAATTTAGCGTTTCATGATGTTTCATGATTTTTTTTTGATTGTATACATATCAATATATACATATATATATATATAATTAGTGTATGTATATATATATATATATATGTTGTTTGGCCCTGTGGATGCAGTGTTTTGTTCATATCCAATATTATCCCACGAGCGTTTGGAGCTTCATCTCAGAGTAGCCATGTTCTGAGGATGGGTTGAAACATGTCGAAACCTTCGGCTATTTCTATCAAGAAATCAACCAAACATCGATCCTGAGAACTCTGAGCACAGTTGATTTGGGCATTTTGAGCTATATGCGACGTCTTGTCCGAGGATGTTGTTGTTTTGCCGACTGCTGAAATGTTCTACATTGATTTAGAATGTTTTTTGATCATCATTCTGGATTAATCTAAATTACATTAATGATTATATTATATCTAGATGCATTGTATTATTTTTAGAATCTCCTGCTTTTGATGATTTACCGTTTTTTTCCCTCAATTTTGGCACCTCGAAGGAGATGACACGCGCTTTTCCGTTCGGGGAAAGCAGAGATTCCTTCGATATGATTCGATCAAACAGAAATCAAAGCCAGTTGCTGATTTGAGTTGCCAAGGACAGTGGCCCGATTTGAAGCCCATTGGCCCATTGACTTTGTTTGTTTTGGAAAGGACAACCATCCCAGGTCCGCCCGTGCGTTTTCGTGCAGGCTGATTTGGAGAGGGCCTTCCACTCAGCAAAAACCTCAGAGTCATCCAAATCATCGGTCGCTTTTTGCTCCAGTTTTTGGAGGTTTTTGGCGACACCGGGTAATCACCCCATTCCTTAAGGGATAACGAACAAAGAATCCACTTGGATTTTGCAACTTTGGGGTCAGAAGTCCCCATTTCTTGATCAGAAGCTTGGGGTCATGGATGTGCATCCCATTTGATCGTCCCTAAGGCTGCAGCGGATGATTGTCATGATGATGATTGCTGTATTTACTAGCTATAGATTTATAAATAGACTATTTATTCTTACTACAGATGTATAATGATATGTATAATATGTCTTAATGTTGATGACTCATAGTTGTTTTTATGCTTATTGTTTATTCTTATTGTTAGATGATCGTTATGATTATCATATCATTATTGGGTTATCACATCGATCGCTCTGTCTTCGCCAGGATGGCGATCAACCCATTACGACCTTGATGCTCAGGCGGGGGAGCGATGCTCCATGCTCAACCGGAGCTTTTTGTTGGGTTATCATTATGGGTTAGCATAGCTATATAATGATTTAATGGTAACCATAATTTAATCATCTTTATGGTAACCTTCTGGGTAACGAGAAAACCCAGAATTATCACATAATTATTATGACAGATACTGTGGAACCAGTTGGAGCATGTTGAATTGAGTTTCCTAATTACATCTAGAATGTTTCATGGCATTCAAGAGTTGTTTTTGTGCGATTTGATGGTTCGTTTTGTAACCAGCCATGTTACCGATTTACTGTACCTGGGAAAACTTTGGACTTTAGATGAACTTTGAATGGAGATTAAAACACGGCTTCGCAGCTCAGCTGTCATGATTTTTCAACCAGGAATCCGGACATATGCTAAACCGAGCTGAAGAATACTGCAACTGTTGCAAGGTATCAAAGATGAGCAATGTTTCGAAGTTGAAGTGTTGCCTGTGCATACAGTCTCCCAGCATGGCTTATCTTCATCCTTAACTGGAAGATCATTATTAAAACAGGACAACGATATGACCCATGATATCCCATGATGCTCTCTTCGTCAGGCATGTTGGACACGGGGCTGTAGCTTAAGATGATCTAGCATTGACCGTTTTCATTTGCCCATCCACTTTCCATTGCAATTCTGTCATGCATCAAGCTTTACGGTAGTTAGCGGTAGTTAACGCCCCAGTACCCATATAGAAGTTCGGTATCCTGAGGACCAAACTACTAGTGGGATTCAGCCTCAGCCCGCGAACCGCGACCACAGGCACATTCCCAACAAGTACTCCCAGTCGAGCTTGCTCAAGGACCAAGCAGCGCCGTTTGGTGAAGTGTTGAAGGATGATATCTATGGCCATGATGCAGGAAGTTACGTGATCTCTAAGATATCTATGGACATTTTTACTTAAAGATCCAGCTTTTGTGGAGGTCTTTATTTTTCTCCATTTCGTGTGGTCTTCAAAACACCGAAACTGGTCCTGAAATGGTCCACTTCAGTGGTGGTACGTTTTTTTGAAAATTCCGGGGCCTGAAATTCCAGCAAGTTCAGCCCAAAAAAGACCAGCCCTTATGGCAATGGCAGGTTGAGCCATTCATTTTTTTACATCCATTTAATAATCATTTTCCAGATTTCATGGCTATTTCATGCATTTCATGCAAAGCCATGGCTGCCAGGAGATCGATTTCAAAGGATTTCAGGGCAAGTATGATTTCTTTTATATGCCAATGGAAGCTGGCCTGCACGGGCTACGGTCACGGGCGGTCAAGCCTGCGGTCAAGCCTTGTGGCATGTAAAAACACTAATCCAATCCTTTGCGTGGTCGTTGAGGTTGACTGGTGGATCGAATTGGTGGTATTGATACCTAATACATGTGTATACTGTATACTGTATATATATATAATTATATATATATATATATTATAAATATATATATATATAATAGATGATCATATTTACATATGTATCCATGACCTGGGGATATCACTGCAATCAGAATCGCTTGTAGTTTTGGTATTCCAAACCAATCCAAACCACCAATCAATTGGTTGCCCCCAAATTTCGGAGCCACTTTGGGGTGCCACCTACACAGCTATCGTTAGTCTCAGTATCTCCCAGTACTGTGCACCTTGCGGGCGCTGGTTTGGACTGGTTTTGTGCACCACTGCGGAAGCTGGGGAAGCTGCAAACATACGACACCTTGGTGTCAAACAACTAAGCCAAAAATGCCAACGATAACCCAACATAGAACAAGTTCTCACAAACAGGTAGAAAAGTATAGCAAACGGGTCATCAACTGTTGCACATGAACATGCCCAGCCAGCCCGTTTCACTACATGACTGGGGGCGAAGTGGGATGCCCGCCAACAAGAAGCAAAGTGGTGTATAGTTGAAACTGGTAATTGAGACAATTGATACTGGTAAAGCAGAAAGGATGTGTGCGACTTGTACATGATGTCCGAGGTACATCGTTTCTGGAAACTTTGTTCGAAAACCATATGCTGCAATAATGTAAGATTTCTTTATTATGTTTCTTCGCAACTGAGAAAAAATGATTTAGGCACTCATCCGTGACTCAGTAGCATATACCGCTAGACATCATCAACAATACAAGCCGCGTTGTGCCAATTCCTGAGGATGTCCATAATCGGACCAATGCTACTTGGCGGGGTGGAAGCAAGTACCGTAGTCTCAAGTGCCATTTTGGGTGTGGGCATTCAAAAGCTAAGGAGACAAAAGGGACCATCGATGTCGGTTCTTAAAAAAACGCCTTAAAAAAACGCCCTAAGCCGCCGTAAGCAATATATTATTGGCCTTCATTGAACTTGATTCATTGATCTAAACCGGATGGAGTTTCATCTTCAACGAAATGAAAGATTTGATCTGAGGATGGCTTCAGGAGCACTGGATCCCAGTGGTACGCTTTGCGCCCTCCAAGTTCACCAAACTTCCCCATCTTCATGTGCCCCAGTGGTGTGTTGTAGATACTCAACCTGGCTACGTGTTTTACTTGTAGTAGTGAACCTTAAAAAGTGGTTTTACAAGTGGTGGAGTTGAATTCTTGCCTCACCACAATCCGGGGAAAGCATGGGCCGTTGGGCCCCATCTATTTCTACAGCCGGGACTGGCATCAGACTGAGGTCGGATATGCATTTATCAACTTTGTTACCACGCAGGGGCCCTCAGGAAGGAAAACGATTTGGCTACGGAGACATATGGAGACTGGTCATTTTAAAGCACTGACCATCGAGATCTCATGACTTTTGGGACCTGAAACCTATCCACTATGATCCAAGGCTATGAATATGGCCCAAAATCATCGGCGCCCAAAGTTGTAGTAACCCCCCAAAAAGATCTATGTATGCGACTATACATATATATAAATGTATATATACATATATATATTTATTTATAATGTATATATATAATGTATATATATATATACGTATGTATATATATATATACGTATGTATATATATATATATATACGTATGTATATATATATATACGTATGTATATACACACATCATATATATATATATATATATATATAATCTATTTTATATATGTATATATATATATCTAATGTGTACTATACTTTTTGTTTGGCTCTCGCCCATAGAAGCTCTCACTGCGGCTCCGCAGCTGAATTCCAGTTGGTCAGCCGTTCATCCCGCAAAAACTTTACCCAGAGTCGATCCATATGCTGTGCATTCCATAGGATGACATCTGTCGATGTCCGGAGACGGCTCCTGTAGACCAGGATCGACGCATTGTTCAAAGCCCTGGATGAATGCTGTGACCACATGTGACCACTGTGGCAAATGCCATGCAAACCGAAGTCTGCCCTACAGCTTTCTCACGCGGCAGTTCTACTCGAACTCGTCGCTGGTGCAAGTGAAAGAGCACGGTCATGTTGATGGCAACTAGATCTGTAGGCTTGGGCGTAGGCGCACCCATGAGGCCTTGAGAGAAGCACAAGCGTTGTGCCCCAGGGATATCGACGCTGCCCCCCGGCAGATCATCTGGTTCTGCTGGATGCTCAAGGATGCCGAAGCCCCCAGTCGCCGCAATCTCAATCATGGCCTCCAATGAAAAACCTAATAGGCAATTTCCGACGAGGAGCTGCTTCAATTCTTTAATTGATACACTCTCGTATCCCCAGAGAAATTCGACATCTCGAATGACGCGGGGCTTACACTGACCCGTCGTGTTGTGCCCAACTATACTCTGACACGTGACCAGGATTCGCAAGGAGGTCCTCCAAGAAATGCCAATACCCAACGCGATCGGATTGCCTCAAGCCAAAAGCGCCGTGTCTGTGCATTGGCAACATCCCCCCAAGTCGCATCCACCACCACATCAAGGGAGATGACATGGAGGACGTAAGTCTGCTCGTCACTCATAGCACGCTCAAGGAAATACTGGAAATCACCGACTCTGCGTCTGCCGCTGAACGCATACAACAAATAACGATGTTTGCCAAATTGTCTCGGGACCGCGTTGTCCAGAGCATTGGCCTGATCCAGAAACCATTGACAGCTTGTGTGGCAGTCATGATCTTGTATCATCATCAGCCTGTCGTGTCAACAACAAGAAAGTTCATGTCATGGGAGCGGTGAATGAGCGCATGTGGCGGCGCAGGTCTGTCAGGTCATACTGAAAGAAGTCCGCGCCCCCCTCCTCAAAATTCTGCATAAAGAAGAGGAATGTCGCCCTCCACATCGTCCATGAAATTGGGTGAGTTTCGGCAAAAGTATGAAATGCTCTGCTCATGTCCTGAAAAGAAGCTCGTGCATCACTTTGCTCCACAATAAGGAAATGCAGGGCATCATCAATACATACTTGTTCACGTGGTCGAGCACAAGGAAGTTGAGGGCCCATATGTGACTATACATATGTATATGTATATATATATATACACATAATATCATGTACATATATATATATAATCTATTATTTTATATGTATATATATAATTATACAATATGTATATTTAATATATATATATGTATATTTGATATTCAGGATTTTCAGATCATCCGCATAAAGACTTATGATTACAAAGACGCTTCATGTTGTGTTTCCAAGTCGCGAAACCATTTTTTGTCCGCGAAGATAATACGTTCTTTCGCGAAAACTGGATATTAATTCTGAATCATACACCATTCCATATAACACTTATCATGTATATTATTGTATTTTTTTTAATTTACACACACCATTAGGTAATACTTTACTCATCATACACCATATATTTGCATATATAACTTAAAGTTCCACGATAGTTGCATGAAGGAGCGGGCAAAAGTGGCAAAAGTGAAAGGGCATGTTGTTCAGAGGTTGGCCTTTTTTATGCGTTCTTTTTAATGCTATCAATCTCAATAAATCCCAATAAACAGGCAATCTATTTTGGAAAATATCTTTACTGTGCCTGGTTGGTGGTTTGGAACATTTTTCCATATATTGGGAATAATCATCCTAACTGACTTTCATATTTTTCAGAGGGGTTGAAACCACCAAGCAGGTGCGGTTTTCGTCGAATTTCATACTGTTCTATGTTTTGGGGGTTGCGTCGTGGTTTCTGACCAGAGAGCTGGCTTTAATCCGGTGGGTGAATGACTTTATCATTCAGCTGCAATCCGGTGGTTGAAAATTGACCAGGTGGTTGAAAAAAAACTACTATGTTTCACCAGGTGGTTTGGTTGAAAACGGATCCCAAATATGGATGAAAAATCATGCTGTCAGCTGACCAGCTGACCATGGCCGAGCTTGAAGTTGGTCGCCCATGTGGACCAAGGCGGGATGCGAGAGACTTCTTCCTGATGTTCTCCAACTATCGGTGACCTGGTTCCAGCGGTGGTTCTGACGAATGGGCGAAGCAGAGGGGAATCAATTGATCTGCAAATATGCAAATCATTGCACATCCAAATATGCTGTGAGTAAATGCCACACATTGTATGGTTTTTCCCCACCTGCCAGGTGAGGGTTGTTAGATTTTATCAGAGCTGTTGTCCTCCGCCTCCTCCTCCTCCTTCTCCTCCTCCTCCGCCTCCTCCTCCAGTTTCTCCTCGACCATGTCTGCATCAACTTCCACCTCCACTTCCGCCTTGCCAACTCTTCGCCAAGCTCTTCGCCAAGCTCTTCGCCAACTTCCGAGCTCAGTGCGCACTGCTGGACCTCAACCTGGGACCTTCCCAGCTCAGTGCGCACCGCTGGACCTCAACCTGGGACCTTCCCAGCTCAGTGCGCACCGCTGGACCTCAACCTGGGACCTTCCCAGCTCATGCGCACCGCTGGACCTGAACCTGGGACCTTTCCAGCTCAGTGCGCACCGCTGGACCTCAACGGCCAGATAGAATGCCAGAAGATATGCCAGATAGAACGCCAGATAGAATGTCAGAAAGAATGCCAGAAGATATGCCAGGTAAAGTGCCAGAATGTTTGCCAGATAGAATGCCAGAAGATATGCCAGATAGAATGCCAGAAGGCATACCAGATAAAGTGCCAGAAATTTTGCCAGATAGATTGCCAGAAGATATCCCAGATAGAATGCCAGAAGGTATGCCAGATAGAATGTCAGATAGGATGCAAGAAGGTATGCCAGATAAAGTGCCAGAATGTTTGCCAGATAGAACGCCAGAAGATTTGCCAGATAGAATGCCAGATAGAATGTCAGAAGATATGCCAGATAGAGTGCCAGAAGATATGCCAGAAGATATGCCAGAAGATATGCCAGGTAGAATGCCAGAAGGTATGCCAGAAGAATGCCAGAAGATATGCCAGATAAAATGCCACAAGATATGCCAGATAGAATGCCAGAAGGTATGCCAGATAGAATGTCAGATAGAATGCCAGAAGGTATGCCAGGTAAAGTGCCAGAATGTTTGCCAGATAGAATGCCGGAAGATATGCCAGATAGAATGCCAGAAGGTATGCCAGATAGAATGTAAGATAGGATGCCAGAAGGTATGCCAGATAGAATGCAGATATGCCAGAACATATGCCAGAAGATATGCCATTTAGAATGCAGATATGCCAGATAGAATGCCAGATCGCATGCCAGAAGATATGTCAGATAGAATGCCAGAAGATTTGCCAATTACAAAACGTATAAATGTCATGGTGGGGATGACTCGAAGTAAAGTATTTTTTTAAATGATACCCAAGCCTGGAGAACACATTTTGTCACCAGGGATTTGGGGGTGGTTAGTAGTTGGTTCTTGGCTGCTCTGCGCCTGGTTTAGCTAACCTCAGGGCCGGGGCAATGTCGGTTCCTTGGAAATTCATCCAGCTTCCCTCAGACTGAGAAATTGAGATGAATCTTTGCCAAGAAAGAATCTAATCAATACTAAATGTATGAATGGCACAGGCACATACATTTTTCCACATTTTTGTACCTGTGTAGACACATATGATATATATATATATATATGTTATCTATATATATATGTTATCTATATATATATATGATATCTATATATATATATATATGATATCTATATATATATGATATCTATATATAATATATATCTATATCTATATATTATATTATATATATATATAGATATCTTATATTTTAGCAACAGGTGAGTTTCCATGGATATTGCTTCCGCCAAGTGGGGTACTCGGCTCACTGAGCGAGATCTTCATGTTGCAATTCAGTTCTCTCATCAATTTGGTGAAATCTGCAAGGTGAAATTAACCATTCTTTGTTGGTGAAATCCCAAAGAGATATAGCCAACAATCTTCTCTCACTATCTTTTTTGGTGAAATCAATGAAATCCTATTTTTGTTGGCTATATCATGCTCCCCTGGCAGTTCTGGGTGTATAAATCGGGCTGAAATTGTCACTGAAACACGCAATTTCTCTGAGAGTCTCAAAGGTTTCTGTTGGGACCCCTGCAGCTTTCTTTCGCCGAGGTTTGAATTCCATGCCAGTGGAAAAATAGGACATTTTCGGGAGTTGGACGCATTTTTTCTGGGAGTCCGGAGGCTAAAAACGCTACAGTACACCCTAAGGAAGAAGCATGGAACCCCAACATTCGGTTTGGGAGATTACTTTCCTAGTGAATATGGTCAGTTTTGGGGTTCCATGTTAAATTTACGGGGTGTTCTCCATCGAAACATGCTAAACATCGAGGAATCCAAAGGTAAAATTTGAAGTCTTGTCTGACTGATGCATCAAAGGAAAACCGTGTTGTCAACAAGTGCAGGGGAGCATTGACCCTTGCAGTTGGTTTGGGTCAGAGTGGCGGAGCAGTGGCCTGTTGAATTTGGATGGTTGATATGTTCATTGAGTCCTACAATCGTGGTTGAATGGGAATGAATCTTGATTCTATTTTATTATAGTTTATTGGAGATCCATTATCAAATTTTCCAACGCTGTTGAATGATGAGGATTAATTTGCATGAACTAGGAACACTGCTATGAATCAAAGGCCTGTAGGCTATAAAGCTGGTATACACTCTCATATTATCTTATTAGCATTTATTCGCCATACACCCACCATGTTCAAAGCCATGTCCAACCCATCAAGCCATGAACCCCTGAATTGCCTGTACCAAACTTGGGGTGAACGACATACATGTTTTTAATCAGCTATATGTTCATCTATTTGCCATCCATGGGCTTTTGACTCATGCCCACATTGATATTGTGGATCATCAATATCTTCAGAATCTTCAGATTAGATTATATCACCATCTATATGAGTGTTCAATCTGTCATCGGATAAGTTTTGTTGAATTGTTTTACACCCATAGAAACCAGAAACCATGATTTTTCACCGGAAATTGTCATGGTAAATCCCCATGTATCCCTTTTTCATGGGAAAAATCCATGGAAATTCCTGCAAGTTTTCCCGGAAAAAACCAGCCCCTCCTGGATCTGCAGCATGTGCTGCTGACAGGAACGGTTGCACCTGGTCATGTCCAGGGTTTGGAGAACAATGTCGGGGCTCCGAACTGGGGGGAACACGCCAAAGTTCATTTACCTCGGTAAATGTGGTTCAATACTGTGATTCAAACCATAAATTCATAGATGGGACATGTGGCATAAATAGTGTACGAAACTAGATGGGAAAGTTGACTCATGTGAGCTGAATGTTGTGAATAGTTTGCCATAAATTGATATAAATGGGACAAAGATAGATAGATAGATAGATAGGTAGATAGATAAATAGATAGATAGATAGATATACATAATTAGACATGTGCGAACAACAAAGACAACACACAATGCATGACATGTAAGATTGGCCGAAGATGACCCATGGCTAGCACGAAAAACGCAACGATGATCAGCGCGATGCACACCATGCTCATCAGAGAAACCCAACAATGGCGGATCTCATTGATGAGACCAGGCCAAGAGGAAAAAAAATTGGATTGAAGAACTGCCAGGTCATGATCTGGATATATCTGGATACTATTTCACAATATTTCACAATATTTCTTCCACAAAGTGGCTATGTTCCCTAATCAGTCATGGGAACATTAGTCCGGTACCATCCCCATTTTTCACACCCAAAAAAAACGCAGGGATTTTGGGTGAAATCTACAGGTTTCGGTTGGACAGTCCCCATCTGGAGCAACTGATGGAAGCGCTGATTTTGGTGATTTTTGATGTTTCCCCATATTGTAGACCATATTGTTGGCTATATACCATCTGGTTGGTGGTTTGGAACATTATATATTTTTCCATATATTGGAAATAATCATCCCAACTGACGAACTCATATTTTTCAGAGGGCTAGGTATACCACCAACCAGGTTTGATGATTTGTTTGGTCAAGAATCACTGTTTTGCGAAGTGTCTAAGATTTGAGCGACACAAGCAACGGTGCCATTGGCTATTGTATAGTAGATATGCTTGGGAACTGCCACGAGATTGGCAAACCATGGCAGTCAAACAAAAAATGTGGATATAGATTAATGAAGAGCTGTTAAAAATGACAGCTATTTGGGTTGATCTGAAAATAGACCCCTCGAATTTGATGGATCATCATCTTCCCCCCATAAAAAGGCCATTTTGGGGTTCATTCTCTGACACATCCATATCATGATTGTCGGGTGACATACTCCATGAATATCTTGAAATATCGCCATGATTCCCCATGTATATATCAGTTTATTGGGTCAATCATCATGAAATCCATCAAATCACCATTAAAGCACCATTCAAGCACTATTAAATCACCATTAAATCATTAAATCACTATTAAATCACCATGAACTATATCCATCTATTGTTTTTTGTTGACCCTTTTTTGAATTTTGCCCCTGGTTCCTGGGAGCTCGAAATTTATCGAAATCTCCGAGGTCTGCCACTTCGGACACCGGGCCGTTGCCACGGCGCAGAACGTGCAGTGCCGGGGGGGTTGGATCGCTGGAAAACTCACCCAGTGATTCCCAGTGATTAACAATGATTGTCAATGAAAAGGTCAATTATCATATTTATGATCCAGTGATGTTGTTGTTTTTTTTACTTTATGTAAAACTATGCAGCGGCAAGTGCTGACATCCGCACGAACGCCAGTTGGCTCCCAGACCACCAGCCCAGATCCATGTAGCTGGCGTCTTTTGGTACAAATTCAGCTCAAACGGCATAGCGCCAGGCGAGCACTGCAAGGCAGCAAGGGTTCACCCTTTACAGCAAGCAAATGAGCAAATTTATATGATATAATATTGTCAATCCAGCGATGGAGATTAATATTATTAATAGATTGACATAAACATAGATTGACAATGAATATATGACAATTGACCTTTTCTGTTTCTCATTAATTAATGATTCTTTCAGGGATTAATCTTATCAATCTGCATAAATTACAACGACCTCACTACGACCTCACCATAGATGATGGTTAGTAGTGGTAACTATCCCAAAGTGGGCCGCAAGTTTCATCCCATCGGTCCCATCCTGCTAATGTTAATACATACATACATACATACATATATATATATATATACAATGTGGGGCCCCCAGACGATAGCTAAGTTGGTGAACATAACTCCAATAACTATGGTTCATTATACTTATAACTTACAACTATAGTTTATGGGGTCTATAAACCAACTTATAACTGGGGGGGCCACATTGTACATATATATATACATATTATATGATATATATATATATACATATTATATGATATATATATATATTAATAGTTTACATCCTAGAAGGGACTTCGAATAGATTGAATAGATCCTATACTCAGCCATGGTCTTGTGGGAGTATTAGCGATGTCAAACAACCTCGGGAAGAACCATCGATTTGATGGCCCAACACATCACAAGTGGTATCTATTTAAGATTATCCAGATGGGTATTTTCTCAGTGACTCGGAACCATCTGCCCTCAACCTGTTTCCTTCATTCCAAACAGAAATAGAATTCGAATCTGTTCAAAGAGTAAAATCATTTGTGTTCCTTTGTTTTTTGGCAGGTGGGATAGGTAAACAAACCAAAGAAACTAAAACAAATCTATATCTATATTATATACCTCCATCTCTCCCTATACACACACACACACTCTCTCTCTCTATATATATACACCATATGGTTGATATACGGTTGAGGGCTCCGTGTTTCCAGCAACGCGGCCCCCCAGGTACCGACCTCTCGTCTTCCGCGATGGGAAGCAAGTGGATTTAAAAGCGGTCACTTGGCAAAACGTCACCAGGTCAGCTTAGTTAGATTTACCCTCTGGTAAACTAACATAGCTATTGAAAATGGCAATTTATAGTGAGTTTCCCCATTAAATATGGTGATTTTCCATAGTTATGTTAGTTTACCAGAGGGTAGCCATTGAAAATGGACTTCGTAAGATCTGAGGGTAGAATGGGATGTATCTAAAAGAAGACTGAAAAAACAAAACTTAAGGATGATTGAAAACTATACACACACTACTGTACTTGGGATCCACATCATTGCACTTCATAGGGATTCATATGCCCTGTACATAGAAGGATTCCCGTTATGGAATGGATGACCCTAATTCATATATAATCATACCATGTCTTTGACCATGGCGACTATATTGATTCAACCAGCAACAGCTGGAGGAACAACATGTTTGAACTTTCAACTTTTAATCAACCCAAATTAATTGTGTTGGATTATAAAGAGATATATAGCGATATATATATATATATATATTATACACGCATATACATGTATAGTTGATCTGTATGTGTATATATATATATGCATATATATATATATTCTCACCTCCCCCAATGATCGCCAATGAAGGTTTTACCGTATCCTTCCGCATGGCCCACCTGTGATATAACTTTAGGATACCTTTCATATATTCCTGTGATATAAATGTTGAATGCCATCTAATACATCTATACTTTACCTGTAATATACAATTTATCAATTTAATATAATTTAATATACCTTTAGTATATCATTTGATATACCTCGAATCTACCTTTGATGTACCATTCACTTGACCTTGAAAATAACTTTAGTATGCCTTGACGATACCTTCAATACATATACCTTTAATATACCAGCTAATTTACCAGTTAGTATACCTTAAGTATACCATTTAACAAAACATGAGAATACCTTGAACATATTTTAATATGCCTTTAACATACCTTTAACATACCTTTAAAATATCTTTAAGATCTGTTCCTTTTCCTCTTGAAATACTGTTGATGGACCATGTCATATAATTACCTTGAGTGTATCATTTAATTTACCATGCATATATATATATATATATATATGTATACCTTTGGTTTGTTTCAATTTCCCTTCAATATACCATGTTATTGGCCATGAAAACAGGTTTTTATTATTAATATACCTTCCATATACCGTATACCTTTGAACAACAATCTAATACACCTTGACAATACCATTTAATATACCTTTAATATACCATCTCATCTCACATGTGTATACCCTGAATATAACTGTATTAATACTTAAATATACTTGTAATATACCTTTAGCATATTACATACATAAAAACCATGACCTGTTTCTTTCAAACAATACTACATACACCTAATGTTTCTTTGTATTATTGCATGCTTTTCAATTAAATGGTTCACCCCCCTCGTGAAGGAAGCTTTGCCCATACTGATTTAACATAGATACTCAAAGGATTCCATTCTGAAATCATGCTGTCCTCCTTGCACAGATTCCTTTACCTCTTTAAAGCTGTAAGTCTCCTTTAAACCTTTAAAATAACCGTATATTCCGTTCAAAGAAGTGCTGCAACTCCTTTATACAAGGGGACTGTATAAAATTATGCCACTTTAGGCACGGAATGTAAACATTGAAAAATATCGCTGCGCAAGGCATACATTGGAGGATTTTGCTTTGAAAAAAAATCAAAGTCCATGCTAAAACTTGTTTGCTTCTTCTATTTTCAAGTAGTATCTGTGTGGATTTTTTCCCCATGGTATTAGGTAAAATTCTGGGTGATGAACCAATTTGCATATGCCAAAAAACAATGCTACACTACAATTCTGTTCTAAATATCTTGTATACTGTTTTTAATGAATACTGCATAGACTAAGAGAACTTTCTTCTTTAAGTAATTATGTGCTCTTTCAAAGGGACCTCACACGTTTGTTGGCAGTTGGCATTTTATCAAGGAATACTGCACCCGTGAAAGAGTCTTACAAAGTATGCTAGTTTAAAGCAATGTTCCATTTTCTCATACTTTTCGTAGTCGAACAATGCAAAGAGTGATGCTGCGATACTACATGTGCTTAAGAATACAATACACATCAAAAAAGTGCTGCGTCCATTCAAAGACTCTCTTTCAAGGCAAAACTTGTTCAAAGTACTACTACATCTATCCCTTTGAAAGAAATAATGCAATCTTTAAAAATGCTCCACCATCTTATGCAATATGTCCGATACTCTTTCAAAAGAGTACTGCATCATTTTTTTTAAAAAACTTTCTTTACAGGTAAGACTCTTTCAAAGTACTACTACTGCATCTATTGATGCATTCTACTACACAGAAACAGTACATTCTTTTACAACATGCCCCACTGGCCTCAACTATTGTAGGTAATGTGTCCGGTACTCTTTGAATCAAATACTGCATCCAATTAAGGACTTTCTTTTACAGGTCAGATTCTTTCAAAGTCCTGCAGCATCTATAATAGCATCCTCCTATTACAAAATTTATGTTACAAAGCAATGTTACATGTTCTCAAAGAAATACCCCACCATTCCCCCCAAAGTATCCAAAAGTGTCAGTTTCCAGGTACTTATATACTTTGTTTGAATATGTCAAACCCAGACAGGAATGTGAAGCGTTGCACAGCTAATTCTCAAGTGCATAAACATCACAGCAATGTGAATCAATAGACAAACCCCAAAAAACAAAGAACTGGAGCAAAACCAAAAAGCTCCAAAAAAACAAAACTGTTGAGAGAATGTTTGGTTTTGACTCAAAAGTTTGTTTTTTGGTATTCCCTATTAAAAACAAAGGAAAAACAAAAAAACAAAAAAAGACAAACCTAAAATGCTGAAAAACAAGAAAACACATTGTGTTTTTTGTTTTTTTGACATTTTGATTGATCATATCCAGAACAAAACAAAACAATGTTTTTTTCCAATTTCAAAACAAAAAACCTAGGGAACACCAAAAAAAACAATCTTTTGAGTCAAAACCAAGCATTCTCTCAAAAGTTTTGTTTTTTGTTTTTTTGGTTTTGCTTGAGTTTGTTTTAAAGGTTTCCAGGTTTTGTTTGCTTTTCTCGATGTGGCCCAAGACAAGAATGGTTGTAGGCATTATTGGCTGCATGACAGGGTGAAGCAGATGATAGGGTGAAGCAGACCAGGGGGTGAAGTGGTCAAACCAAAGTTTTAAATCAGTCGGTGCCATTGAAAAAAATGCATTAGATATTAGAATTACAACCCAAACATATTGAAACATCCAAGTGCAGAAACCTGCCCCCCATGAGCGCCCCTTCTGTGAGTTATTTTTGTTCCGGTTACGCTTTATATGCATAAAACTGAATTCCCATACAAAATGCTTCTAGGTAGATCATGGGGGGTAGCATATATATATATATATTGATGAGATACAGTATTGAGACATATTATGAAAAACAATCTACAGTGTGAAGTGTGTCTGAACGTGGTGAACATCCCCAACATATAAATTCGCCATCAGGGAAAGTGATGAAAAGAACCAGTGGATGTTAGGCATCCCTTGGGTCAATGTATCATTACTGACCTGTAGTTATTCCCAATGATTCCCAACGAAACAACGTGTCATTACGAGGTTATTGTGAAAACTCACCACAGGTAACATCATCCGTGTGTTTTGGTGTTTATCACCTATTCAACAACTGGAATCACGCTTAATTTGCTTTTATTTCCACTATAATTGCCAGCAAATTGAACTTCAGATACTGTTTGTCATACATGTATCTGGATAGACTATAACGACCTCACCGCGAGGTCACTGGAATTATGATTAGTAGGGATAACATCCCAGAATTTTAGTTCTGCTGTGTTTCAGATTAGCGAATCATTTTAATTATTGATCATTAACGATCATTATTGTCATTGCATCTAAGGTGTATGGAATATGTATATTCATATACACGTGCAATGTGTTAGCTACCCAATGATAAACCATCTCATTAGCCAACCAGCCAAGGGGGTCATTTTACATCATCCCAACTTATTGTTGGGTCGTCCACATGATTAAATTTTATATGGAGGTTGGTTCCTAAAATGGGGTTACCCCGAGTTACACCCCAAATCATTAGACCATGACTTAGTATTGAAACCTATGGTTTTGGGGATCCACCATTTCAAGAAAACCCCCCCAAAAAAGCATTACTTATACGTAGACCAATCCCACCCAACTCGTTGGCCCAGGTATTCCAAGGGCTACAGCAGAAGGGCTGCCAAGTTCCGGAAGTTTGGACGAAACCGCTTCTTGGACTCATTCTTATTCTGGCTTTGTTTGATAGGTTTGACCGTCACATCCAGTAGTCGATCATCATGTTCCTACGAAAATGGCCATAAATGGATGTTTCCTTTGCCTCAAAAAAAACAAATTTGTTTAAATATTCCCGACTTCTCCAAATACATCATGTGCCATCGGAGGTGTTTGGACCACAACAACCATCCACACATGCAGTCGAAGGTGTTTGGAGCTGTTGGGATTTTATATATATATATATATACATATCATTATATATCTAATTATATATATATTTCCCATTTGAAATCACCTTCTTTTAGGGAGGTAGATCCAGGTAGATGGTCGAAACATGTAGAAACTTGGGCAAATATGTCCGGAGATTGGACGTTGGGATCGGTGAGACTGGGTGAGACTCTGAGTAGTAAAAAACCAGGCTTGCCTGGATTCGACGGATTGGTCCAGTTTTAACTCCCCATTTTTGCAAATGGAGGTCAACCATATATATCATGTTGATATAGTCAAAAGAGAAGATATTGTTATCATTTGTCCAGATATAATTTGCAAACATGATCAACCAAATTATATCATGTTTTTTGTTTGTTATAGTCAAATGACCACTAAATGTATGAAAATAGTTGTCAATACCTTAATGACTGTATCCACAAATCATCCATTTAAATCCAAGCCATGTGGATGGTGACCGGCGCTTGGATTTTGGGTCCATATTGGCTTAAGGCCACGTGCGGCATATGCCAGGGCCTCAGAGCCCTTGTCCCGACCGCGAGATCAGCCGGTTTTTGATATGGGTTTAGCATGGTTTAGCATGTTACAGTCATGGGATTGCATTCCACATAATATCAGATTTTAGCCAACCCTCGTGATCATTTTGAGATAGTCTATATTAGTCAGAAGCTATCCCATGTTGGGGTGCCCCAAGTTTGACGCAGTTTCCATAGATCTCCATAGATCTCCCATGAAGACTTTGCGGCCAAACAAATCACTATGCCCCACAATGGACTGCCACAGCATAGGCAGCACCAAAGCTCGCGGCGCCAGGACAGTCCGCATGGAATCTCCATAGTTTCTATGGAATCATACGCACGTAAGTGGATATTTGATGATATTTGATGATATTTGTGTATGGAATTGTATGGAATTGTCCATATGTCAGCACCATGTCAAAGTTTTTAGCGGATACATGGGTCGTTCATGAAATTCTGGCAGAAGTTGCCCCCTTGCGCCTTTAATGGCTGGCTCTTTTTTTCTCTGGTCAGGATGCCTTCAAGTGGAGTAGCGGCGGTTACCGGCGTTTCTTGATGTTTTTTTTGCATAGAGAACTCTTTGGTGGTTTGGAACATGACTTTGATGATTTTTCTATATATTTTTCCAGAACCGTTGGGAATGGAACAATCATCCCAACTGACGAAGTCCATCATTTTTCAGAGGGGTAGGTCAACCACCAACCAGAGAATATCAGAATTAACAATCATTAACCATAAAATAACCATTACTATTCATTAACAGTATATATATATATATATTAATCATATATTAACCACCAACCATATAGGTCAACCACCAACCAGAGAATATGATGGCCTGCAGGACCTTTGGACTGCGACTGGCAAGAGGCAGCGGATATTCGAGTTGAACCGGAAAGGGTCAAGCCTTGCGGGGGAATTGGAAGAGTTTTCATGTAATTTAAACCCCTATGGATCCAAGTACCTTCTTAGGAAGGGTGTGGGGTATAATTTACTATAATTTGGAGGCTTAAGTACTTTCTCAGACAGTGTTTGGATCCATAGGGAACATTAGAATATAGCTTCGAATACTCGAAGCATAGAATATGAGAATATATGAGAATATCACGTTTAGGGACTTTTGAAACATTAGAATATAGTTTCGCCGCAAAAAAATCTGGATCCTACCAGAAAAATAATGAATAAGCCGCACGATTTTAATTGTCGGTTTTCAGGGATCAGTTTTGACCCATATAATATATATATATATATTATAATTGTTATATATATAATAATACAATAATATAATATAATAATAATATATATACAGTATATATAACAATAATCATAATATATATATATAATACATATATTGCTGAAACATGTCGTCTCACACCAAACCAAAAGCCATACCCGGCAGAATTTCACATTACGCCGCTACATTGCACTAAAGATTAGTCCTCTGTTGTGCGGGGGATCTAAGGTTCGCCACGGAAATTGGCACAACTTCAGCCCTGGACTGCTCTGGGCCCAAAAGACCAAATCTACATATGTTTATTTTGTGTTTCTCACAGTTCTTGTCATTGAAATCCAGATGTTCTTTGAATGGTTTGAAGTCCCGACAAGTGCAACACAAGCGCAACCCGCTAGTTCTCCATGCAGCAACTGTTCACAGCTTTTTTTTTCACAAATGGATCATGAAAAAGGTGGATCCCAGAGATGATTTCCAAGTACTGAATATATCTAGGTATGATGTTGATTCCATGGCGGTCCAATAGTTTAAATGCAAAGGATTGAACCTGGGGTCATGTATCTACATCAGTGATTCATGATAAACATTTTTTTCACTGAACATATGATAATGAATGATTATAACATAGTATAACAGCTAATTCATTCTATAATTGGATGTTTATTTGTTTTATTTTGTTTTTATGGAAGATGACAGTTGATTCCGATAAGCTGTCCTACCCTGGCGGGACACTCAAAACATCCGCGCAGGCAGAAGGATTTTGTACCAGGCGGCGCTCGCAGCTGCAATGGTGGCAGTGACCTCTTGGTAAGAGTTGGATGAGTAGTTTTGCATCATTATGCCTTGACATCTTGCTGTAAATTGGAACGAATCACAAGCCTCTTTTTAAGGGTTTATAGGATTGGCCGTGCCTCCACATGTCTAACCCGTCGCTGTTCAAAAGAACTGACGTGGGAACCCACACAAAATAATCTAACAATAGATACGATTTTACCATTTTTGTTCATTGATAAGTTTTTGGTTCCAAAATTATTTTGTCGTTCTTTAGAAGTAGGGGGTGAAAGGTGGACATCCCACCTTGCTGATCTTGCTTCTGGGGCACTAGAGGTTATGATGGATTATGTGCCGCTTTGGTGTCCTGCCTTTTCCCAATGTGATTTTCTAAAATTTCTCAGCAATTCCTCCAAACATCCGATATATCATTCCTCGTTCCTACACGTTCGTCTGCTGATCGTTTGAAGTTCCCCAGAGCAAATGGATTTTGCAATGGATACCATCTGGTTATGACTAACAGTTTGCCATGGAAAATCACCATTTTTAATAGGTAAACCATCTATAAATGGGCCTTTTTCCATGGCTATGTTAGAAAGACACTCATTAGACCTTGAGTATCCAGTCCTGAAAGTGCATAGAAACTCCCAACAACAGACAAACTCTGGGAACAGAAAATGCTCAAACTCCGTGTGAAAAGCCCTGGTGTTTTTTCATTTTCGAAGCCAATCTGCAGCCCGTCGCCAGTGAAGCAACTCCGGATTTGCCTAGGACTTGGGTAATTCGCCTGTGCTTTTTGGGGGATCATCCTCAGTTGTTTCATGTTTTTTTTTCGGAGCTACCCTCTGGTAAACATACAAAAAACTATTGAAAATGGCCATAGAAATAGTGGATTTTCCCATTAAAAATGGTGATGTTCCATAGTTATGTTAGTTTACCAGAGGGTATACTGATTTCATAGCTAGATTGTGATGGGTCTCCCATTGGATCCATTGGTGGGACGGGAACATCGTTTTACCATGGAAACCATGGTGAAATATGTACCAAATTGTATAAATATGTCAGAAAATGGAGACCATGAATCTTAGGGGTTTCCTGAAGATTTCAAAAAAACCAATGGCTGGTGGAACTTGCAAAATCCTGGCTGGGTCCTTGTCGCGACCCAGCCTGAAAACATCTGAAAACTTGGAGATATTCATCACATGGCAAAAAATTGCTGGAACCATGGATGCACGGATGGCATCTTGATTTTGGAAGGGAAACATGATAACATGCGTTTAAAGAAAAACATATTTGTTTATTTGTTTACAAATGTTCCCTTTAAACTATGACTTCTGAGATTTGAGAACCTAGATGACTTGACTTTCCGGATTGGAGGCTGGTTCAACAAAGGCTCTGAGCTGGCTTTAAAGATCAGAGATGATCAGAGCCAGAGACAGGCAGATGAAACGCCAGCAACTTGACCCATATTATCTGGGTAAATTATAACGACCTCACTGCGACCTCACTGCAAATCATGGTTAATAAGGGAAATCATCCCCACATGGCCTTAATTCAGGTTAGTGAAATATTATAATTTACCCAGATGTATGTATATGTGTATGTGTTTGTAGTTACATGGCCTTTGTCAAGTTGAAAACCACAATCATCAGCCAATGGGATAAGCTCACGCAACAGGCACTTCAAAAATCACCAAGGTTATGAAAGCCTGGGGGTTGGATGCAGGAAGAATTTGTATAATAGAAACCAGGGTTTTTACCAAGAGATGTACGGGTTTCCTGTCATGTTTTTTGCCTGAACAAGCAATTATGGTTGGTTTATAGTGGAAAATCCCATTAAAATGGATGATTTAGAGGTACGCCCATTTCAGGAAAACACTTGTGATTTGCGGCACAGCAGGAGTCTCAGTTCCAGTACTTCTGCCACTTCCACAGATAAGAAGGAGACGATGATTTGTGTCGGGACCGACGGTGGTAACAGAGTCGGCAGGAGTCGTTTGGATAAACATTCCATGGTTAGGGACTGGTTCATAGCAGCTATGTGTAGGGATAAGGTCAAAATTAGAATGATGAACTGAACGTTAATAACACCAACTATCATAACTAATTATCGGATAACTAACATGATTAATAAAGGTACAGGATGGTACAAGTATCATCGTGGCTCAGTGGATGATACTTGGATGTCTGGAACTGAATTCTGGTAATCCCGCAGCAATCCCTAGGCAACCAACCAGTAGAAACAACATGAAACAACCCACAGTAAAAATACCTTTAACGATGCTTGTTTCTTGGCAGTACTCTGACATGTCAATATGATTTCTCATTACACCCAGTGTTCTATGTCTCTGTTTGATATGAAAACCATCTACTTTCCATTACTTTCCTACTTTCATGTTCATTGGGAGATATTCATTTCCAGCCGGATTAGATTGCTGAAAGGTATACCCATGGATTTTTTCAAACATCGGCGACGAAGGTCGCACGAATCCCCATGGTGGGTTGAAGCACTTGATCTTTGCTGTGGCTGAAAACGAAGCTCCAGCAATTGGGATGCCTTTTGCTGACTCTGAATTGGGGAGGGACCTCCAAAATTGTGATAAATTACAATGTAAAAATTGGTACCACTCTTCATACACTGGGGTTTCTGAATGCTGGGTCAACATTGCAGTGAAAATCCGATAGTCTTTGTGCTTCACCCCTCAGGTCGCAGAAGAGCGAGGCAGCGAAAAGCAGGGCCAATCGGTGGCTTGGAGTTGCAGTGATTTGGTGTGATTTGGTGCTACGTTTGACCCATAATCAGGTTTGGATTTTCCCCTGCCAGGTTAGGTCTCGATTTTGACAACGGTGTAAGTCCCCAAATGACCCGGACCCTGGGCACGCGCCGACCCATGCCAGATAGAATGTCAGCTAGGACGGAAGAAAGGATGCCAGAAAGAATGTTAGAATACAGGTCAGATGGAATGTCGACAGAATGCCAGATAGAATGTCGGAATGTATATATATATATATATAAGATGTCAGAATAGACATCAGATAGCATGCCAGAAAGGATGCCGGGCATGTGAGATAGAATGCCAGATGGAATGTCAAAAAATATGCTAATCAGAATGCCACATAGAGTGCCATATAAATGTCAGAACATATTATGTCAGATAGAATGCCAGATGGGATGTCAAGGGTTATGTCAGCTAGAATGCTAGTTCAAGTGCCAGAAAGACAAAACGTCAGACAGAATGCCAGATAGAATGTCAGAATGTATATATGCCAGATAGAATGTCAGGCAGAATGCCCGATAGAATGTCAGAATATATGTACGCTATTGTAACGTACCCGAGATAGAATGTCAGGCAGAATGCCAGAGAGAATATCAGAACATATGTCAGGGTTAATATGTCAGGTACTGTAGAATTTCGGAATATATGTCAGATAGAATGTCACAACTTGCCCGAATACATGTCAGAAATTCTGCCAGATAGAATGTCAGTTGGTGGGCATCATTCGAAGAAACCATCAGCTTTGGGGGTGCCCTATTTTCAGACAAACCTTCCATTGGGGAAGCCCGGTCAGGCCGCCCGGTCAAGTCATGGGCTTGCCGGGTCCATCAAGTCAAGTCACCCGAACCCCCGCAAAATTTGAAAGCTGGCCGCTGTGGACTGTGGGCTTTTTGTCATCCTCAAATGTGCAATCAATTTTATTTAGTAAACAAACATCTCAATGTTGGCACAGGAAATGCTGCAAATTTGCGCACTCCCTTGGTGGCCTGTTCTGCAAAATTTGCGAGTAGTTTGTGTCATGAGCTTTTCTAGTTTGTTTCAATGGATTGTAACTTGCTGAAGAACACGCCAAAGTTGCCAGTTCCAGGCTCCTACCACCCGTGCAATCGGTATTGCAGGTATGATGCACGCAGGGAAAATTGAACGATTTGTTTAGTTTAGTTATGACGGCTGGTGCAACCTTCCAACCCCATGATATACATCATATTATTCATGACATTCTGTATATTGGTCAAATCCACATTCATGGGACCCTACTTGACAAAGAGACCCCAACAAGTTGACAAAGAGACTTGTTCAAAGACCCCAAACCGCAGACTTGCGGTTTGGTCTCAGAATTTTCGATCCATACTCAACCATGGCAAATGCAATAGAAAACCGCGTATTTTCAGATGAATTGCCTGTTGAAGATGTTGGTTTTCCAGTGCCAGGTTGGGCTAGCAAGAGGGTACAGTAACCGCCCAAATTACCTTACTTCGAGGGATCCCCACCCTGACACATTATTCTGACATAGTTTCTGACATATTGTCTGGAAATAAATAAGGAATATATATATATATATATTCATTCTATCTAACATTCTTTCAGGCATATTCTGACATTCTATCTGACATTTTTTCTGGCATTCTATCTCGCATCTATTCTGACATTTTATCTGACTATTTTCTGGCATCTATTATTCTGACATTCTTTCTGGCATTCTATCTGGCATCTATTCTGGCATTTTATCTGGCAGGTGTTCGGGCCCAGGCGTGCCGAGCTGCCTCCGGAGCTCGCGATGGGGTTCGGGCCCAAGCGTGCCCAGCTGCATCCGAAGCTCGCGATATGGCTCGCGATCGGTTGATGCCCACAGTCACGACGAGAAGGAGTTGCACCTTTGTTAAAATCTAGAGACCCTCACCTGGCAGGTGGGGAAAAATTGGCCTGTACTAAAAAAACCATTCATTGTGGGATGTTCCCATCCAGGGGTATATACATCTAACACTGATCTTGAATGCTCCAGATCCTGTGAGAAAACCAAGGAAGGGCTTGGGCTGGCCATGCCACGCAAGTAGTCTGAGACATGGGAAATTTGGGTTCCAACTGGACGCGTGAAGGTGTACCATGGTCATTGGTCGAATCTTCATTGTTAGGGTTTTGTATACCCAGCATATATGGGTAATGGGAACCCTAAATTCATGAGTTTTGTCTCATGAGTCTAATGACTTTAAGGATCTGGGACGTTCCGAATTTTCAGAAACACATGAAACATGTGTTTTTTTAATATACATATATAGTTACTTAGCATATATAATATGATACGTATACATCATATATGCATAATGCATATATATATGCATATAGTAACAATATGTTTATATTTATTTACAGTTGCATGCACGCATAGATCTATGTAGTATCATACAGTCAGCTCACGATGGAACAAATTGGGTACTCCATGATGTCTCCTCTAGAACTGGAGCGGTCCATGTTCGAAAAAAAACTCTTGTTGTGCGGAATGATGCCAAAAAATGGAACAAAAGGTGTGCATACAAACATAGTATATTTTTAAACAATGATAGGTTGTGTCGATTGTTTTTTGGGGCAGGGCATTTGTTTGTCGGGAAAACACCAGTGGAACCCAGAGTTGAGAGCATATTTTTCTTCGCACTCGACCTGGATCAGCACCGACCTCTCACCACATAGATGCAGTTCCTTTGTTTCACTCAGCATATTTGAACATCAATGTGTGTCAGCGTAGCTGCTTCTTGTTCACACAAACGTGATTCAATTTTGTGTGTTTCTTTTGTTTGGGAGTTTGGTGTTCCCTGGTAGAAACTGATACAGTATGGACAAAGTAAAATTAAAAAATAATAGACATATATAGACATCACAGAAAAGAACATGCAAAGTATACAGCAAATGATACAGTAACATATGTTTATCCACCAATATAAGGGAATTCATACTATCGATGCAGACAAAAAATCCGATTGCAATGTGTCTGTATTGTACTTGTTGGTCGCTGCGGAAACATGCGACTACAGCACACATTCCTACACCCACCAAAGCCACAATATGACGCTTATAGACTCCTCCTATTGTGCGACATAGCCAAAGAGTCAAAAAGTACAGCGGGGGAAACATAAATGGATATGGGTCAAGTCGGCCAATGGTTGCTAGAAACAATGGATATTTTGTATCAACATATATGGTCTTTGACTGCGATGACCATTACATTTGTTTTGTTTACTAAGCCTGAATGTTTGAGCCGTTCATACCTCAATGTGAACAATTCGCCTAGTTGCATCCATTTGCTGTTATTTTCTACTGTAGCCATCTATAGCCTTTATTTATTTATTTTATTTATCGATTGTGGTTCTACCAAATCATTTCGTCTAATTACTGTACCTAATTCTTGTTCTTCCATTCTTCCCTTTACTGTCTCCACTGCACAAAACGTTAGATTTGCGGAAGGGCTAAAATCATATCAAAATTATCAAGTCATAAAGATTGATCCAAAGGTCAACGAGGCAACGATTTGCTCCACCGATGTTCGGAACCTTTGAAATGTGGGGCGGCTGTAGGGGCCCTGGATGGGATGGCTGGCCCACGATTTTGTGCGCGATGCTGCGGTTCGCGCCATCGTTGATTCGTTGATGTAGCTGTCGGTTGGAAGAGCCGGTGAATGTTCGAATGTTTCCAGATGGATATGGGATGATATGGGTCAAAAATGGTCAAGATTTAGGACTTGGGTGCGGCAGGCCTGGTGTACCGACGGATTTGCCAAGTTATGCTCCAAGATTCCCTCCAGAGATGCTGCTCTTGAGCAGATGGACTCGTAATCGAGATCTTTGAAATTGTTCGACTTGGGGATTCATTGACATTATTTTTATTTATATATATAATTATATATATATAAAGAGACAGAGAGAGAGTCTAGTACGATCTAATACATATGTTACAACATATCATAACATATAAATCAATGTCAATTGCACAACGTATATATATATATAATATTGTAATTATTGAGTGTATACATATAATAATATTGTAACCATTTAGCATTATTTATATATGTACACATTGAATATCATTTGTGTAGTTTGTGGGTTTGATGTCCGAAAAGGGGCTGATTCTCCTCAACCTTCGGCGTGCATGCTTTTGAAGATCCTGCACAACGGTCGCAGTTTCGTTGTTAACTTGGGTCCGCCCAGAGCAATTTATATCCCGAAAAGCACTTTTTAATATATATATATACATATATTTACATATACATAGGCGTATACATATATACATATACAAATACATATATACATGTCAAGATGTTTGGCTGTACAGCCAATGTAATGGGACCTATGTTAGGCATGTGTTGTGGCCATTTGCGGCCATGATGGGCCAACGTTGGGCCATTTGGGTATGTTGTGGGCCAAGTTCGGGTCCATCTTGATGTTTTTTTTCTGTTCCAACATCGGGCCACAACATAATAAAATCGTTAACCGCTTTCTGTTGGGTCTGCCAACCCTACCCCTAAGAAAAGTCAAGTATTACACAGAAAGTGGATGAATGTATTCATATATTATATCACATATCTCGATGATTCATGCCCTCATTTATGTGAAAAACCGCGCACTGCAACTAGCGGCTCTCCAACCAGTTTCCGGCTCGCTTCAATTCACCGCGGGGCCCTTGAGCTGGCGCCGCTGCATGGGTCGGTCGACCGTCGCTTAAGGGAGATAAGGCTTAGATAAGGCTAGGATAAGGTGTGACGAGGAGCCAATGGCAAAAAGATGGCATGCTGTGAACTTCTGAGACATCAGAGGGGAAATCATGGCTCACTGCATGAGTAATGAAATGAATCTGTATGATTTGCTGGTTCTGAAACTTTCATTGTTGCCCAATCAGGCCTTTGTCGTTTTTTTGACACATTGAATGTCTCAAGAGGCGTCATTCGCCATGTCGTTTTTGGTGAACTTTTGAGTTTGATTTGTACCTCCGCCTGAAGAGCCAGAGGGTTTAGTGGCAGATACTTTACCGTTACTTCCTTACTGGACCCCATTTCCAACATCCCATGATTGACAAAGGGCCCCCAGTTGACAAAGATACAATATAATAATATATATATATAATATATATATATTCACATATTCTTGGAGGTAGTTTCACTATCAAATACAGCAAAGTACGGACACATTTTTGTTGGTCAAGTCCTCGGTAGGTCCAAGCTGTGGTGGTTTTCGGCGTTTTTCGGTGGGCCAGAGATCTTGATGTTTTCCCCTTCCTAGTTGGGATGATGATCCAATCTGACGAACTCCATGATTTTTCAGGGGGGTAGGTCAACCACCAACCAGGATTATATGGAATCACATTAGTAGTGTTTTATGATCTAATATAAACAACTTTATCTTGTCCACATACACAGTATATTATATATTGTTATATTATACAAGGATCTACAGACTACCAGGAAGTGTTCATTGGAATCATCTTTCATCGCCCGTCTTTAAAGCACATGGCTTGTCCATCGTCAAAAAACAGCAGCTGGTAGGTTGGTATGCCGCCTAGCAGGCAGATAGGCCGGTGAAGACATGAGGTTTCACATAGCTATTGAACATGGCCATAGGAATAGTGAGTTTTCCCATGAAACATGGTGGATCTTTCCAGTTCGTAATGTAAAACGTTTACCAGAGGGTACTCCCAAGCATCTGACCGTTTCATGATTTTAACATTGCTCGGTGGCCATGTGACATGTGTCCCATGGTTCATCCGCGACATGGAGAGACTCGAGGGCCGAGACTTCGAGGACTGAGAGGGGGAAAAGGCCAGAAACAATGGGTGGTCGGGGCTGTTTTGTAGGTATAATATTGGGAGGAAGGGATTTCGTTTGTGACACTTTAAGATCACCGTGACATCAAATTATCAAAGGCTAAAGCATCCCAGTCTTGGAGTACTCCAAGTGTCTCCCCAATCTATACAGTATACTTGCTATTGTGGCTCACATTGTCAACCCGGCTTATGTAACTATGATCCATCTAGAATCTAGATTCTAGACAGGGGGTTGCCCAGCTTTTGAGTGACCTAAGCTGCTGAAGGGGAAATCATCCGATCAGAATGGGTCAGATCCTTATCATAGAGCCCACACCTGATTGCATGTGGGTTTGCCATGGTTTGCCCCAAATAGGATAGCCCATGGTAGCGCTAAATCCCATGGTTTCACACGCCAGGAGAAAGGAGGTGATGAGGAATTCTTCGAAGACGAGGACAGGGTGTCCATAAATGGGCCACAAAATGGATGGCTTATAATGGAAGATCCTAGTCAAATGGATAATTTGGGGGTACACCCAATTTTGGAAACCCCCTATCTGGATCATGGATTTTTGATGATGTTCACTTAGTTTGTCTACAACTCTACAACAAGTGGGATTGAAGCAGAAAAAATGATCACAAGATAAAACATAGACTTGACTTAGCCAACGAACATATAGGGCTTTCACCGGTTTGTTCTTTCCAGCGAGTTCAGATGAAATTCTTGGGATTTGACAGGAAGTTTAAGCCGTAGGTGATGAGGGGGTCCTCATTGGTCGAACCACTTCAATATATATACATATATATATATATGTACTTCAATGGTGTGATTTTTTGGTTGGTGGTTACAGAGTCTGATATATATATAATTATATGTACACATAATATGCTACATATACATATGTATGTATATATATATATATACATATTATGTTTTACTTACTACATATATTTATGTATTTGTTTATTTATGTATTCATTTATTTATTGTTTATTTATTTGTCTATTTAGTTTTTTTTGTTTTTACTACATGTATATGTATATATCCTATACAACATATAGTTTAGTATGTAATGCATTATCTAATATACACACGCACACACGCGTGATTGTGTAGACAATATACATACACACAAGCAAATGCATATATCTATGTGTATATATATATATATACTGTTAATTTAGATACACCGTGTCAACATGAATTATGTTTGTACATGTATATATTCCATCCAGAAGATGGTGTGATGATTCCAAAGCAACTCATGATTTTCAAGGAGGTGGCTCAACCACCCACCGTAATTGAACACGATGGACCGATGGACC